GCTGTCTGGGGAATTCTGGGAGTTGAAGTCTACATGTCTTAAAGTTGCCACGGTTGAGAAACACTGTTTTAAGGCATTCCAAAAGGCTAGAAGAGTAGGGGAATCTCAAGGGGGAGGGTGTTCCACAGGGCAGGTGGTCCCTGGAAAAGGCATGCTTCCTAGGTCGTCCTAGACGACACCATGAAAGGGAAGGGACATGGACCACACCCACCCTATCCTCCTCTGTTACTGCACCTGTCCTATGGGATAATATTCCCCCTTCCCCCAAGGTCCAGATGGCCTCAACCCTGGCTGCCTTCTATAAGGCTTTGAAGGCTCCCAGGCAGTAGGTTGGGGAGCTATGCGAACCTGTCTGGTGTAATTGTTCTGACTGTTGAATTGCCTCTGGCATAATTTGTTTTATTATATGTTTGCTTATTTTCTAATGTTACTATTTTAATTGTATACAATCAAGTAGTTTTTGAGATATCATCATATAAATACACTATATAAACAAACAAAATGAAACATTCAGTGAACAACAAGGTTGATCAGAGAGTTTGATCGGTCTTATGAAGAGAAATTGAAGGAACTGCAAATGCTTAACTATGAGAAGACCAAGTGGGATATTACAGCACTTTTCAAGCTCCTGTAAAGATAGCACAGTGGAGGAGGCCAAGATCTGTTTTCTGTTATTCTAGAAAGCAGGACATGGAATAGATGTAAATTATAGGAAGGCAAGTTCTGACTGAACGTTACAAAAAAATATCCTGTTAATGAGAGCAGTTCAACAGTGAAGCCAATTACTCAGAGTAGTAATGGGATCTTCTTCATCAGCCTGGTCAGTCATCTCACATGAAAATGCTAATCTGGATTTATATGGAGCAGGAGGTTGGACTTGATGGGCTAAATAGGTTCCTTTCAGTCTATTAGCCTATGGTTTCAATTTTTTATGATTTGGTATTTCAAAATGTTACCCAACAATCTAAGGATGCAAACCCAGTTTTCCTTATGTCTTTGGTGCTGATGTGCACCATAAATACCAGTCCCTTCTTAGTGCTATCTACTGAACTATCTAGAAGGTATATGACATCCTGAATCTTCACATCACGCAGGCAAGTCATCCTCTGATTAGCACACCAGTTGCACACCCATTTAGTGGTTAAGGCACCAGGCTAGAAACCAGGAGACTCTGAGTTCTAGTCCTGCCTTAGGCATGAAAGCCAGCTGGGTGACTTTGGGCCGGTCACTCTCTCTCAGC